GCGGGGGGGGGGGGGGGCCTTGGGATAGGCTGCAGGAGGAGACACAGCAGGGTAGGGCATTGGCTGGGGCCCTGGAGGAGGACAGAACTCCCCCAGCCCCAGCTGCTGGCCTCGGCTCTGTCCTGGGGAGCTGATTACAGGCTTTTGGAGGGTGGAGGGAACAGGCTGTTCTGTGTGGGTCAGAGGGTAAGGCCCGGTTGGAAGAGCTAGGCTGTGGGGAGGGGTTCGACATCAGGAGGGCCAGCTAGTCTCCTGTGTGCTCCTCAGGACTGCTGGAAAGACATGGAGAATGACAGAGAGAGAGGGAGGGAGGGAGGGAGGGAGAGAGGCAAAGACAGAGATCTCAGCCCAGGAAGAGCCACCTGCTTTTTTTTTTTTTTTTTTTTTTTTTTTTTTGAGGGATAGAGAGTTAGAAACATCGATCAGCTGCCTCCTGCACACCCCCTACTGGGGATGTGCCCGCAACCAAGGTACATGCCCTTGACCAGAATCGAACCTGGGGCCTTTCAGTCCGCAGGCTGACGCTCTATCCACTGAGCTAAACCGGTTAGAAGAGCCACCTGCTTTGGTGAAAAGTGCGGAGTGAGTCGGGGTTGCAGGGCTGCTTTAAACCTGAGCAAGACCAGCTCTTCGGCTCAGGCTCTCTCTGCCTTAGCTTCCGTTCTTGGTAAAACAGGGTCCTACGGCCTCCCGGGCACCAGGGTGCCACCCAGTAGGTGCTGAGCAAATGCAGCCACACTTGTCTGGGCCCTTCAGTCCCTGCCCAGCCCAAGGGGACCCTAAAGTGAGAGAGGCAGAGCAAGCCAGCACCCCCATCCCAGGGCCCAGCCTCCTGCGACCTTGGGCAAGTGTGGGGTCCGCTCTCCGAGCCTGTTTCCTTATGTGCACCCTCCAAACAAGACTCCAGATATCCCCGGTCTCAGCTGGCTGAGCGCCACCCCCACCCCATGAAATTATTTCTCAGTTTATCTATTTCACTTCTTTCAAACAGTTAATAATGATAATAAAGACTCCTTAGCCAGCAGTCCACTTGAGGTGGGGACACCCAAGGCCCTGCCCAGGGAGAGAGACCCTTGCCGTTTCGTGTCCCTCTCAGCCAATCAATAACCAGCGCAGTGGACAAGACGCCATCAGTCACCATCCGGGAACTCTGAGAAGGTGGCTGGACCAGCCCCTGAGCTCATTACGAGTACAAGACGCCATCAGTCACCATCCGGGAACTCTGAGAAAATAAAGGTTTATTATTTACTTAGAACCTGGAAATGACACAACACATGTGGGGCCACACAGCCCAGTGGCAGGTGGAGGGAGAGCATGGTCAGGTCTGGGGTTCTGCTTTTATTGGCGTTGAGGATTGGGGCCTAACGTAAGAGTGGTCATTTAAAGCATCAAAGAGAGAAAGCAAGGGGCCCAAATGGCCAGTTACCAGAATCAGCCACGATCTCTGAGACAGGAGCCTCGCGGGGAAGGGCGCCTGCGCTTCATCTAGCTGCTGGGCGGAGATGGCCATCATGGGGGCGGCTGCCTCCACAATCAAAGCTTCATGAAGTCAGGCGCTAGCATTACAACAGAGAACACAGCGTCAGGGCTCACGCTGGATTCACCCTGACCCTGACCCTGACCCTCTCACATGCCTTCCCCTGCTTCCAAGGTCCCAGCTGGGCCGGCTGGGAGCCTATAAGCCGGGTGCCTGCTGGGCTCAGGCGCTTCCCGCCGCCATGGACCCCCGCCCGCTCCCCTGGGCGCTGGTGCTGCTGAGTTCGGCCCTGGTCGGGACGCTGGGCCGCGCGCCCACCCCGGAGGGGCCGGAGAAGCTGTGTGGCCACCATTTCGTCCGCGCGCTGGTGCGAGTGTGTGGGGGCCCGCGCTGGTCCCCCGAGACCGGGCGGCCAGTGACTGGCGGAGACCGTAAGTGGCGCAGGCAGGGGCCGTGTTCCTGGGTTTCTCAGTGGGCACGGGGCGCTTGTGGGCTTCGGGGCGCGGGCGGGCTGGTACGCGCGCGGGGCGGACCGGGGTCCACCTGCCGGCCGCAGAGGATGCTCTCCCCGCTGGGCGGGAACCGGCGCGAGGCCTAGCGGCAGAGTCTTGCAAGTGCAGTCAGATCCTCTACCACTTCAGGATTGTGATCTTCGTGCATTTTTGTATAAATTTTGATTTTTTAAAAATACTGCATTAAAATAGGATTTATTTTGATTGTTTTGGCGCTACCAGTGCTCACTCTCCTCCCCTAGCCCTGGCCCTGGTGCAGAGGGTGTAACACAGGTTTGTGCGCACGTGTGTCACACACGTGTGTTCTGCGTGCGTGTGTCTGTGTGACATGGGTGCAGACAGGTGTGTAGAGGTGCACATGGCAGGTGGGGGCAGTGGGAGGGAGTTTGAGGGCATGCTACTTGTGTGTGCTCATCCAGGGTGTGCTTGTGTCCATGTGTACCCACTGTCTGCACACCCATGCACATAAGTGTGTCACATGCCACCTCTGCTGTCTTCTACTCTGGGAAGCACCTGTGCGTCCATGTGATGGGTGGCACATGTGTGTGTGCACTGCGAGGGGCTTGAGTGTGGGTCAAGCGTGCACACACCTGGATGGTTGATGAAATCTGTGCCCGGTATACAGTAGTTACTTAATAAGTGCTATTTGTGTGCATGATGAGTGTTTGGGGGGGCACTTAGCAGGATGTGAGCATGCAGGGGTGTGCACACAGAGTGGGGGTGTCTTCTGGGGTCCCCTATCTATGCTGAACTCTACCCTGTCCCCAGGTGAGCTGCTGCAATGGCTGGAAGGACGACATCTCCTCCATGGCCTGGTGGCCGAGGACCAAATGCTGGTACTCGACCCTCAGCCCCTGCCCCAGGCCTCTCACCATCACCACCACCACCACCACCACCATCGCCGGGCAACTGCCACCAACCCTGCCCGCCACTGCTGCCTTAGCGGCTGCACCTGGCAAGACCTACTGACCCTCTGTCCCCACTGAGCCCTCCTAGGGCAGGGCCTCGGGGAGTCAGAGACCCAGAAGTTCTGGTTTGGTGACCTCCTGAAGCCATACAGCACCACAAAGCCCCATATCTGGGGGATTGTTGATTACATCCTAGGACAGGGTACTCACCACCTACCCTAGGTCACCCAACTTCTATGGGGTCAACTTGGGGGGGGTACCCCACCACCCTGGCTTGGAGAATCCTTGATTTTACAGTGATGTCAGACACTGAGGGCCAAATGTTCTCACTCCAAGGAGCCCCAGGTACCACCCTCTCTGCACTTGTGAAACCCCATCTTCCTGTCTCCCCAATAATAAATAAAACTCCTGCAGAATTCAAAGCAGCTTTATGGCATTTCCTCAAGAAAAAGGGACCAGCCTAGGTCAGCCCTCACATGGGCTTGGCCCCTGGCAGCCATAGGCCCACCAACACTTCTAGGAGTTTGACAACTTGAGAGTCATCACAAGAAAAAATGGGGAAATTAAGGCCCAGCGAGATGACTGCTTGCCAAGATCAGACAAGGCGGGAATGGCCAGGTGCAGGATTCAAATCCTGGGAGGGCCTTAATGTCATTTAATGCCCACTTAACGGTACACATACACACACACACACACACACACACACACACACACACCTGTTAGTCACAGTGGATATTTATTGATTCAATTCTGACCATTCTTCTCACTTGCATCCTCCCTTCATCCTGAGATGAGGATCCTATGATATAACCTCCTTGCCATAAGGTGGGTCTGTATCTGCTGACCCTTCCCATGGGTCTGGGAGAAAGAGTACTGGGCAAGGTGTGCAACACACAATAGGTGCACAATAAATACTTAAAGGGAGAGGAGGCAGGATAGAGGACAGCAGAGGTACAGTCCTCACGGGAGGAGGTTGGGTGGGATTGGGCAGGGCCTGGCCAGAAGCAGGAGCCTGAGATGGGCCCAGTGTCCCTTGCAGACAGGAGCAGACTCAACCCGTGCCTTTCTCTCCCGAGACTGTCACCAAGCTGGTAGTGAGAGTCAGACTTGGGGTATATAAGCTTAGGGCAAGTGGGAGCCATGGTGGGTGTGTGAACAGGGATGAGGTAAGGTCAGATCAGCATGAATGAGACTCCTGCAGGTGTATCTTTTCTATTGGAAATGAGATTTTTATAAATAAATGTAGATTGACCTGAGTTAAAACTTGTAAATAACTTAAAAAAAAAAAGACGCCAGGTCTTCAACGAACATTTTATTCCCTGAGGACCCACTCCCCCGTCTGTACTCTGCTGCCTGAGGTGTCCCGCCACCACCCCAATGCCTGGGAGGCCCAAGTCCCAGACACCTGTCAAGGCCAGCAGGATTAGGGTTCACCAGTTCGCTTAGATCTCCCTAATCAGAAAGACACTCGGGAGGTGGGGCAGTCCTGGGTCCCAAGAGCTCAGGGCCACTCGAGGATCTGAACCTCCTCCTTCTCAGGGCACTGGGGTGAGTGTTTGTGTGGCCTTGAGCCCAGTGAAGACCCCTCTGGTCCCAGTACTGTTTCCTGAGTTCTTGGGGATCCCAGGTGTGGAGCCTGGGGCCTGCTGGGTACTCCAGACCGAGTCTTCATAGCCTGAGACAGACCGCTGCCCCCTCCTCTGGCCACTATTTCCACCACCAGAGACTTAATACCACAGGCAGGGAGGGGGCGGTCCCATTCGTGGCCTCTCTGACCCCTCCTACCACCTGAGGGTCCAAGGCCCTTCCCCTAGCTGAAAAATGCTTCTCCCTTCAGCTGCATGCGACCTCGGGAATTCCCCATTGGCTGTGAACCATGGCCAGACCTCACCCACAATTACCTGCAATCCAGGCATGTGGCCACTATTTAGGGGCCAGCCCATGATCAAGTTGGGGCTGGGATGTGGGACTTTATTTTTATTATTTTTTTATATTTTTTTATTGCTTTTAGAGGAAGGGAGAGGAAGAGAGGGGTAGAAACATCAATGATGAGAGAGAATCATTGATTGGCTGCCTCCTGCACACCCCCTACTGGGGATTGAGCCTGCAATCCAGGCATGTGCCCTTGACTGGAATCGAACCTGGGACCCTTCAGTCCACAGGCTGACGCTCTATCCACTGAGCCAGACCGGCTAGGGCTGGGATGTGGGACTTGGACTCAAATGGGCTGGAAGCAGCAGCAGCAGCAGCAGCAGCTGGAACCTTGGCCGAAGTGCTTCTGCCAGTAGCTGAGAGTCTAGGAAGGCTGATGAACCTGGTCTGAGCAGTACTGGGTGAGCTTTGAAGGATGTGTAAGAATTTGCCACAAAACTATTCACTAATCAGCCCTGGCCAGTGTGGCTCAGTTAGCTGAGCACTGTCCGTGCACCAAGAGGTCGCCGGTTTGACTCCTGGTCAGGGCACATGCTGGGTTTCGGGCTCAATTCCCAGTGGGGGCACGCAGGAGCCAGCTAATCAATGTTTCTCTCTCTCTCCCTCTCCCTTTCTCTCTCTCTCCCTAAAATAAATAAAAGCTTATATGTATAAAAAAAAGCAAACAAACAAAACTATTCACTCATCAAACCCTCCCTGGCACTTCCCTATGCCCTAGGAGGACAAAGGTCTCTTCCTGGGAAGAAAATGTTTCCCCCTCCTTCGGGGTGGAGACAGGAGCCCAGGGGCTAGGGCCCCGACACCCCTCAGTAGATCTGCCTGCGCTTGCCACAGGTGAGGTTGGGTTGGCTCAGTGCCTCCCACATGAGCCACATCTCGTACGGCAAGAACCGGTGCACCAGCAGCAGGTCCCGGTAGAAGCAGGGGTCAAAGGTGGACAGACGTGCCGAGGGGGCCCAGATGCCGGCAGTGCGGATGCCACTGTGCGAGGCGGGCTTCAGGCCCTCGTGCTTTAGGCACATGCCCAGGAAGACATCATCGATGGGGAAGAGGTCTAGGGCGAGGGCCGCTTGGCGCAGGGCCGCCGCCGTGAAGCGGGACAGCAGGAAGCCACCGCCTCCACAGTAGGGCGGGTAGTGCTCCTCCTCTGTCACTATCTTTGGCACATAGTACTTGCTCCAGGAGACCCGGATGGGGCCCACGTACTGGATGAGTTGCCCCACAAAGAGGTGGTGGTCAGGGTTGTGGCCCTGCAGGTAGGAGACCATGTTGTCTGTGTGTGCAAAGACATCATCGTCCCCGTTGAGTATGAAGCTGGCGTTGGTGCACCGAGTCTCCTGCCACTGTAGGAAGAGCACCTGCAGGGGGGTGGACAGGGCATGTGGGCTGAAGGGCTGGGACAATCAGCCTCCCCAGGCCATTGAGACCAGGGGAGGATGTGTCCCCCAGTCAACCCAGCCTGGGTTCAAGGCCCCCCCCTCCCCCACCCTGTGGGGTGACCTCAACCACCAACTGCTCTTCTCTGTGCCTCAGTTTCCAACTTTCCATTCAGGACCTGCCTGCAGGATTGTAGGGGATCCATGGAGATGATGTTTGTTAAAGCGCCAAGAAAATTGTCACTTATGTTTATTGCTATTCCTCCCACTCTGCCTGGTGGAGTGCTCCTGTTATATAATTACTTGTGTGGTTGTCATCGAACATCTACCTCCCCTGCCAGACTCTGGGTCCCCCCTGGGTGGGGGCTGTGTCTCCTACCCGGGCCATGTTCCTGGCAGCCATTGTGGGCTCAATGCCTCACGGGGGCTAGATTCATGTCTAAGTTAATGTTTACCATGCCCTTTGGTGTTTTGGGTTAAGATCGTGGCATGTTGAGGGGTTCTGGCGCTCTGCTTACTTTGGCTTCCGTTTCCTCCGTCATAACCTTTGCTGCCTGCCAAGTCCTGTCCTCAGGGCCTGCCCTGCTTTGAATCCCTAATGCAACCACAAGCGGTACCTGTGGTCTGCAATCCCATTTGCAAATGAGGAAACAAGCTGTCCAGAGACGGTGCCCTGAGCAAGGTCACATAACACAGAAGTAGCTCCTTGAGATCTGAACCCAGACCTGTCTGTATCTACGAGGAGCAGGAACCTGAACTGGATCTCCACTCAGCTTGCTCCACCCCAACCTGCTCGATCCTTGGAGCCACCAACTCCTGCTCTGAATGCGGATTCTCTCTACCTGCCATGGGTTCTTGTCCATCAAAAATGTCTTTATTGCCCGGCCAGAGTGGCTCAGTTGGTTGACCATTGTCCCAGGCACCCAAAGGTTGCCAGTTCAATTCCTGGTCAGGGCACATACTTGGGTTGTGGGTTTATCCCCAGTTGGGGAGTATACGAAAGGCAACCAATCAATGTTTCTCTCTCTCTCTCCCTCCCTTTCTTCTCTCGAAGCATGTCCTGGGATGAGGATTTAAAAAAAAAAGTCTTTATTGAGTACTCACTGCACAGACTAGACCTCATGGGGAGACAGAACCAGACCAAATAAACAAGAGGCGTTCTGTCCAGTACCCGCCTCCCCCCACACCACTGCCAATATTACTTGAGAGCCTGGCACTGGTCCAGGTGCCTAATCTCATCTCATGTAATCCTTACAGCAGCCCTCAGGTGGATGAGTCCAATTAATATCCCACGGTCCCTGATGAGGAAACTGAGGCACAGAGGGGTGAACCATCATTAAGGGCAACACCGAGCCTGAGTTTAAGCCTGAGTCATCCGGCCCCTAGAGCCAGGCTCTTAACCTCTG